TTATATATACTACTAATATTATTTTGTAAATACGTTCTTACGAATAATATTATAAAGCTCGTCTTACTTTATGTTTTGTAAGAAATTCATCACTCAGTTCCCAAGGTGCATCTCTGACGACCTCATCTACATAACGACAATGCCTTACTGCGTCGTATCTCTCAACATCTGTCATCACTGTTCTTCCCTTTTTACTATGTGTTAATTCATCATTACAAACTGCAATAGGAAACGAAACTCCTTAGAACTCTGTACATAATATATACCACAGAAATGAAATTTGTATTTCTGTTTTTTTACCTCCTACAATGAGGTATACATGTGGGAAAATATTTTTGGCTTGTAGAAGTTGTCGTGCATGTCCTTGGTGAAATAGATCATAAATACCATCTGCGTATACTCTAATTTTCCTGGGAGCTGTGTTTTACAGAAATTATTAAAATTGCACAGTTAAGTAATTTGTAATCATTATGGAAAAATAGATGATTCTTGTTATCTAACCTTTGTCACTCTTTGCCATTTTTAATGTAATGCGAATATTATAATCACATGCATTTCTTTCTGCAATTGCTTCAGGCTCATCGCTAAAGGGAGCTTCCTTACAAATTGACTGCAATGAATACAATGAGTAATATCTTCCAAGTAAATGTGAAATAAAAAGATCTTATATATAACTAAGATAAGTTACTGCAAACAAATGAAAAAGAACAAACGTAAGCTTTAATGGAAAGGCGAGAATTGAAATTCTTTTGCATGATAAAAAATATTTAAAAATAAATTAAACTCACTGGAAGTTCTTTGTGATAAACAGAAATTTTGCTATTACACATTTTTAGTGAAATTTGACCTGATTCACTGTTTGAATTCCTGTTGGTTCCCCAAGTCATTGTCAGGAGCTGTTAACGTTATCAAACATTTTTATAAAAAAAAAGAACAATCTTTTTAAGAATTCGGTTGACATATTATGCTTCTATTAGCTTTAATAAAAATTTATTACTTGCATAATAATACGTTTGGCTACAATGTAATACTCCAGAAAATGATCACTGAACTTAACATTAAAACATGTTTATTGAAATTTTCGCTATAACGTTATAAATTAATGTTCCAAGATTGTTTTAATGAATCCATGTTCACGCATGAACGTGAACTGCTTGTCGTCTGTTTGAAGTATGGAATACTTTGTACATTATATCAGTAGACATACTGGTGATCTTGCGTCACACTGCTATCATAAAAAACTTTAAGCCTTTACGTATGAATGCGAAATTAAAGGCATGATATCTCTGAGTGATTAATGTCAATGGTATAATGTGGTTCCTATATGAACTTGAATATACCAAATAGATAAATGTTAAATATGGATCATCATACACGTGTATGACGATACAATTTATAATTAAGGAACTACAAATAAATGAATAAATTAGTGTATGATGAAAAAACGAATGGAGCAATAGTACTTACTGGATAGACAGGTGAATCTTCTTTAGAGCAAGATGCACTTTCCCCATTTTGGAGATTTGTATAAGGTGTGGAATCCAACATAGTAGTTTCTTCTCTTGCCCGCTTTCTAGACATTTTTTATTCCTTCAATGATAAATCCATAAAAGTTCTATAAATGAAAATGTGCAATAATTATACATC